TATATATATATATATATATATATATATATATATATATATATATATATATATATATGACTAATGGATATCTGGTTGCTGTGTTTAGAACTTTCGTTTTAGTTAAATCCAAAGTGTTTTCTTTTTGAAAAGATGCTTGCTTTACAATTCAAACTTTGCAATTCCAGTTCATAACTTTACAGTTACAGTTTTTTACATTTCCTAACGAAGGCACCGTTCAGATATGCAAAGGAAGAAACGGAGTGGACTGTAAGTGTTTGAATTCCTATCGCTTCACGCTTCTTTGATTTCAGGTCGTTTCTAATAATTTTTATTATCCAAGTATGTATATGTTTGTGTACGGAAATTTGCACCTAGTTGGAATTTTACTGCAAGAATTAGGAATCAATGGTTAATTGTCTACTCATTGCGGTAATTGATGGATATTTCTGAGCCACAGTCGGTATCGTTGGACGTTGAGCTCGATAGTGACATATATCCATCTCCTGCTGTTATTTTAAATCAGGTATTTCCATGAAATATTTTGAAAAATAAAATCACGACATAGACCCTTTATCAATGATCATTAATTGAGGTGTCTTATTAACCAATAATTATTGACTAAATATACATTAATTTGAAAGTATTGGGATTTTATTATTTAGGATGAAGGAAAGGAATCGATTTCTTTGTTCTCATTCAACAATCCTCCTCCGTGTGCATGGGATTTAGTCCCGGAAATTCCTGAAAATATCTCTGTTACTGATTTACCAATGCGTGGATTACAGGAAGTAGAACTTTGTCTTAATCCTCCTTCACTTGGCTCTATGCTGAATTGGGAATACGTTGCCGCCGAATTTGGTTTTTCGAATAACAAAATTATGGTTTGTATAATTTTCTGTTGACTATTATGAGAAGTTCCAAATTTTCTGTGTGATTACATAATGAGTTATAACATTCCCTCAAGCTTCATACATTTGATTGTCACAAAACCACCAATTTTTTCGATTGGAAAATTCATTTCCAGCACTTGCGAACATCTGCAAACCCAACCGCGGATGTGCTACGAGAAATTGCTCATCGTCCTTTAAAAAACTTGCTTAACGTATTGGCAAAAATCAATCGGGTCGATGCACTTTTATCACTCCAACCTTATCTTGAGAGTACAATAAGAACCGCTGATAACACGGAAATATCGAGCTCTGATTCAGGTTTGTTTTGTTTTTGCATATAATCCTGATTTAAAAAATGACTAATTAATTTTAAAATGAATTGAATTCAGTATGGAATTATTTTATGCATATATGGTATCTGTTTGGAGGTGCGTTCGTGAATGCTGAAAAAAACGATATCCTTACATGTTCTGCATCTTCCTCTGGTAATTTTGTACGTCACAGTGCGTCGAATGCTAATATTGTAGCTAGCAGCCAGAAATGTAATTTTTCATTACCACTAAACAAAAACTGTACTTTTATGCAAACTGTGTACATTTCTAAGTTCCTGTCTTAAGATACCCCAAAAACCGAAACATATTTTTGTGAAGAAATGAGAAAGAAGTTGGATGTTTTACAGTTATTTTGGTGACGCACCATGAGCTTGTCACAAGTGTCGCGTTGCGCAAAAATTATAAATGGTTCCTGAAAAACTTAAGGTATTTTTTCAAACTAATCTAATTAGTGAAATGTTTTTAGTGATTCTATTGAAAATAAAACCCTAGAAAATGTTTGGTTCAGTTTTTTCTATCAAGTTATTCTATGAAATTTAAAATGTATGAGTTCCCTGGCAAGTATTATAATAAAGAGATGAACGGTATCTTTCCATAATCCTGCTACACATTTCAGGAAGCAAGCGAGGCAAATCAGCATGTCAGCATTTGATATTGACGACTATTTGGAAACAACCTGCCAGTTTGAAGGCTTACATACTTTATTTGCTAGCGTAAGTTATTGCTCAATATTTAATCAACTGTTTAAAAATAATTCCAAGCCTACCGACAAATATGAAAACTGTCTAATTAATCAGGCATTTGCAAAATGAAATCACTTTCTCGTCCTTCCCATAAGTTTTTGCATGCCGCAATGCCAAAATATGGGATGTCATTGTTTTGATCTGAAGATTTTGGATTTTGTGCTGTTACTAATTCGTCTCTTTTCCCCTCTTCTGTGTTTTGGATTTTGCTTCCTTTTAAATGATTTCATTCCTTTATTTCATGAAGATTTAACAATGGTAGCTACTCGATTCGTTTTATCCGACTGTTAATTAGCATTTATTTAAACGAAACAAAAAAAAGTTGAGTAAAATTCCATTCAATTTAGGCATCCAATATTGTTTGTGTTTTCACGGATGATTATATGGGAATGCTAAAATCAAATGGAAATGAACAAGCAGTGACCGTGAAGCAATATTTGCATAAACTTATGAACAGTGAATTCATGGAGCAGGGAAGTAACCAACGGTTTTGTGCTGTAGTTTTTCAGGTAATCAGAAAATGAACTGTTTTTCAACTATATGTGTTATGTGGTAGGTAAAGGGCAGGATTTAGTTTCCATACTTCTGTATTGCGAACTTTCTTCATGATACAAGAGACGGAAGAGTTAAGCTAGGCCAAAGGACACATATCTGAAAATTTCGTTTCAAAAGTCCAAAAGGGTATTTTTTGATAGCTATGATCAGTCGGTCTGATTGATTGGCAATTCAATCTTAAAGATGGACTGCGTGGTTTGACAGCTGTGCTGCTTATAGAGGATGTATTGGACAGAATGATTTAACGATAATATTAACACGATTTTATTGAAGTTTTCTAAGTGATAGTAGACAGATAAGGACCAATGACCAATGACCATTTATAAACTTCCTTTTTTCGGTTTGTCGATAAATGTCGAAGCGAAGTCACAAGCAAACGAAATTCCTGACGTAAAAAAATTCACGAACAATAAAGTGGGAATATCAAAATGTTGCTATTTTAGGGAACAGGACGTGATGTACTTCCTCTTGGCTGGGCCAAAGAGTACACTGGTATACGAATTCCCTGCAAAATCATCTGCAACTGTTCCGGAAAATTGTTTGCGAAGGATTGAATTCAACCAAATGCAATGTTTTCACTAGAATTTGAGTTAAAGGATGAATTTTACTTTGTATCTTTCATGAATATTACGAACGCGCGAACACATCCTTTCTTCCTATTTGCTTCTATTGTACAGGGAGCGCTGTAAAAGAAATTACTACTCAGATAGTCAGCTAATAAATTACGTATATACAAATTTAAGTAACAAAACATACATTATTAATTAAGAGTATAGACTTTATGAGAACTGTATGCGATGTGGAAGGGAAATGATTATTTATTCTGCAGTTTTTCAAAATATATGCACAGAGTCATGGTTTTTGCAAAATAGGATTTGATAGGGTGAATCTTATCCGGTTTTACTGTTACGATCAAAAGATACTCTGTGACGATAACATTAACTGCAGCCTTATAATTTGTGATATTTCGACAGTTTTTGGTTTCATCTCCTCCAACGACCATCCTTTTCATTGTCTTTCATAAATAGATTGGGAAGACAGGAGTACGCACGTAATGAGAATTGAAAATGGTAGAAGAGTTAATCTCTCAACCTACCTTGAGTGTTATATATATATTGGTGCTTCCACGAATAAGAGAACAAAAAACCCTGATGAGATAGGCACGTTCAGAGCTTTTGCTGCTTAGATCACATTTATCTTGGGTTGGATATTGCTGAATTTAGTGAGCATAGGTGACATTTTCTAACCAAAACTTCTGTTCCAATGTAATCAACTTTCCCATTGTAGTTATCTTGCGTATACATGTTTGAATATTATCGCCGAACTTTTCAATCAGTACTGCAGTAATAAAGGCCAAAGTTTTTTCTTCCACAACTTTCTTTTCTCTTTATTGCAAAGTGAACGGCTAACATCTTTACCGGTACCAACAAGAGGCATCGACAAGAGATTTAAGCGGATTAGGGTTATTACTTAGTTCCCATGAAATGTCGGTGAAAGTTTTACACGGTCGTCTTATGTAAGTTGCTCTATTTCAACTCAGACTTGGTCAGTTGGACTTTCCAATATCTTCAAGCAATTGGAAACAGTATGACAAGTGTCTGACGTGTCGTATGTACGTGATACCTACAAGTATACTATGGCGAGGGAGCAATGCCTTATGTTTCAAAAATTTTCTTTTCCAATTTAGACCCATCCCATCACTTCCAAACGACCCTTTTCGAATTGCTGTTGGCCGATGCACACTTTTTTATTGTATTCTGTTACTTCAATCGGTGTATGAGTTTAAAACAAAGCAAGGAATGGGGTGATTTTGTGACTGTTTGAAATTTCAAAAGGCGAAGAAAAAGGAACCTACTGTAAACTGGTTCGTAGATGTCACGTCACAACTAATACTGAATAGAAAAAGGGTTGAGTGAATTTCCGATAAAAGCAGGCTTCCGGAGTTCTGCATGGCATTGGGTGACAGAAGGGAACAGAATACTAGAATTTTTGGTATTATAGTAAACATTCCACATACCTGCAGCGTTCTCCAGGGTATCCGGAAGGTAACAATTTTGTTGTCGTATCGTGACAGTAGGATGTTTTGTGATAGATTTATTTTATTCTTATGCTAGGTGGACATCTAGAAGGATACTGATTCCGTCATTTCTCTTACCGGAAATCTTTTCGGAATTAAATAAATGACAAAAGGGAACAGAATACTGGAATTTAAATGACAAAAGGAACAAAGTACTGGAACCACTCTTCTCTTCCCTCCACTAACCAAGATATCTCATAAATTTTCCAATGAAATCAAGGAATGCATAAAATGATTATCAACCGATCTACGGAATCTTGGGGGGACATCGAAATAACTGATTACATAAACTCGTTGTAGCAAAACGGTCCACCCGTCACACTCGCAAATTGGTCACAAACCCACAAAGCGATAGGAAGCTTCACGTCGGCTGAAGTCAGTGTTGAAAGGATGAGAAGGTTGACAGAAAGAGCTGAAAATTGAGACTGGGAGTTATGGCCCAGGGATTGGTCATTTCTAATCCGTAAATCATTAACACATTTCTTATCTTTCCCTTTTTGCTTGTTTGTTTGATTTTTGAAATCTGATTTGATATTAGCAGGTTGATAATACTATAGTAGCACGTCATCACTGCACTAATGTCTTTCTCATTTTCATTTCAATGAAGCGGTCAGCCATCTTCATTTCATCTCATTTTATATTAAATTTTCCAGTTTTGTTTCGTTTTTTTTTTCTATGTATCATCTTTTTCTCCCTCCATTTTTCCATAATAAGAAAGAAATATTATATGCTTTTATTTATAGAAAGAGTTATGTGAATAAGATGGGTGATTTATTGGATTAGATGAGTTTGTTGGTAGTGGGAGAAGAGTGGTATGATATGTTGTTATGTAATTTAGTAGTTATTTCACGTTGTTGATTTATGATTTTGAAATAAATAACTACTTTATATTCGTATTATTGCTGTCATCACTATTAATATTGTTTAGGAAATCCAAAAAAACTGACCAGTATTACCGTAATTTTATGAAATAGTGTAGCTGATCTGCAATAGTATAGCTATGAAATAGTGTAGCTGATCTTTTATGAATGAATTATGATTATTTGTATGAAATTTGAATAGAATTTTTCCATATGATTTCTGATCGGAGTAGTCAAATTTGAAAGTACTTTCACTACAAACTTGTTAAGAAACATAAGAATAAATGCAACTGATAATGTAAACAATACATTTCGATCTATGAAGATATTAGCACTTAAACATCGCGCATGAATCATTGTTTCTTTAATCTCACCGGATTATCGATATCCTGGTCACGCGATACAAGATTGCTTGAACCATTGTCATTCTGGGAACATTCTAGAAACAATTATTATCAGATTTTAGCATGACTTTATGTAAAATGATCGTCATCTATGATATGTAGGAAAAGAGTGGATTAAAAAAATCTAAGCCTACTGCATATATTGCAGGTTGACGTGTGAGAGACATGTGGCTGTGAAAAAACATCTCAATCGGAAAAAATTAAGTCTTCCAAAATTGTAATCTACTAACGGCGCACTAACAATTTTGGTGACAGCTGAGCACGGCATTTCATATTCCTTACTCGCACCATCCTTCTACTTACATTGCACGTATGTTTATTCTTTTATTTGTCCTTCACTTATCTGCTAACCTGTATTGCGACCATTCCAGATTTATCACTCTATTTATCACACGTAACCAACTAGAATAGTGCTTGATCTGAGTTTTGATTTTAACACTTGCAAAATAAATTATGAATTAAATGTTCTTGGAAATCGTCCCTTCTAGATCTTTTATGTTTCTTTTTTTCTAAAAGTTTTACTTTCCATGGATATATTCGAAGATAATTCGTTGAGTAACTGCTTGTAGTATTCTAAGATGATTTAGATCACCATACAGCGTTGTCATAAAAGGCGTATCGCGGAAAACTCGGAATTGCCTCATCATTTTTTTGGATCGAAGGCTTAATGAATGTTTCCAATTTATTACACATACGGAGTGTATGTCAAAATATGTGTCCTCTTATGACGTGGCTAAAGCTTCGACTGTGTGTTGTTGATAGTGTAACATATGTTTATTTTATGCACCTTTTTAAGTGCAGATTTGTGAAAGGAAAAATTGTCGTTTACATCTATGGAAAATAGATTTTGCTTACAAAGCCCTGTGTTCATTTCCAAACGTGTATGTGTCACCATTATTTAAAATTTGGACCGGTTTGATTTGTTTTCTTCAGCTGATCGCTCCATTCACTGCTTTTGTTAACAGAAATGAGTAAACAGTTATTCTCATCGAAAGCAGATAACCGAGTAACTACCGTGGTCGCTACACCTGGTTACGGGCCGGATCGCCAAGTTGAAGTGCAGTACTCCGATACTAAGGTTCTATTACTTGAATTTATGTTTGAAGCAAAAAATAATGCTCATATTTAATCCTGATCTTCAAGGAAACAGTGAAATAAAGTTACGTATATAATACTAACACTATGTGAAATCCTTTTTCCTTTATGTTTCTCGTGATTGCATAGATTTTTCATTTTATGTTTTTTTGGATAGGAAAATCAAAATTGTCATCTTTAATCTATGGGTTAATGACATACTCCGAGGAGTAATAAGCAACACCTCATTTCGACATACAGTAACCTACATTTCCTTTTCTCCTTTATCCGTGGCGTCTGTTGGAGTCCTCAGTCAAAGGAACTACCATTAAAGGAAGTGGAATTCGTATAACTAAAGTATTAGTAAATGTAAAATCTGGCAATGCCAAAATGTAATAGAAATAGGCACTAGCATGGCGATTTTAGGAAAAGCAAAGGAATAAATTCTTTTCTGAAGTGCTTTTATATCAGTTGCTTATTCGGTTATCATTTTTTGCCAGGTAAATGTTTCCAGGTAATAGGCAACGGTTCTTTTGGAGTAGTTTATCTTGCCAAACTTGCTGATACTAATGAACTTGTCGCGATCAAGAAAGTTTTGCAGGACAAAAGGTTCAAGGTAAACTTGTTTTGCAATTAGTGAATTTTGGTAATTATATATTACAACTTCGAAATTCCTTGTTAGGTGATGTTCATTTTTCTGATGACTGCTGTTTACGTTTTGTGGCGATGGAAAGTTTTTTTTTTTACCCATTATGGCGGTTGAATACTAGGAAGGGAATTTCATGGAAGGACTTGTGCAAATAAATATACTCTAGCTATGTCATTACTGCTGTAAAATTTCCCATCCCCATTGTTGAAGCTTGTAGTGTCCAAGGGTGTATAATGTTCACAAATAAAATGTTGGGTTTTACTTTATTCTTATGTTAAAATGCTTGTTAAATCATTGGGGTCGTAGTTTGTACATTTCTGCTATCAATATTGTGTTTTTACTACCGAAATCGTCATATCTAATCGGTCATATATTGGATGGACAGTGGATTTTGAAATTAAAAATGATCATTAAAGACGAACTTTTTCAGAATCGTGAACTGCAAATAATGCGCAAATTGGAGCATCAGAATATTGTAAAATTGAAATATTTCTTTTACTCCAGCGGGGAAAAGGTATTTCATTTCATGTGGCTTAAAACCAATCTTTTCATATATTTTCCATCTGGTAGCATATCACTTTTTTCTTTTTTTTTAAATACACTTTTGAAACGTTTCTGTTGATGGGCAAGACATTAAATGAGTTATGAACCACTTAGCTCAAGTATAGATTGGCTAATCCCTCTATTCTCCTTTGATTTATTATGTAAATGAATTTTTTCGATTGCTTCCAGAAAGATGACTTGTTCTTAAATCTAATACTCGAGTATATACCAGAAACCGTTTATCGTGTTGCACGGCATTATTCGAAACAGCGGCAAATAATACCTGCACTTTACATAAAGGTATCGTTTAAAACCATCCGATTTGTAATTACTAATCTTTTTTGGACTAACTTGCATCGAGATATCAAGTTTAGTCTATGAAGTATTTCGAAGCATTCATGTTTTCAGCTATATATGTATCAGTTATTTCGAGCATTGGCTTATATCCATAGTTTGGGCGTTTGTCATCGAGACATCAAGCCGCAGAATTTATTGCTTGATCCAGATTCAGCAGTGCTGAAGCTTTGTGATTTCGGTTCCGCAAAACATCTTGTCAGAGGAGAACCCAATGTGTCTTACATTTGCTCTCGGTAATTTTATCGAATTGTTATGCTGATATGTATTTATTTGTTTATTTGTTTCCGTCAAAATTCATATTCATATTTTCCCCTTTTGTTTCACTTTTTTTTTCCTGCAATTACTGTTATATTTTTAGTTACTACCGTGCTCCTGAATTAATATTTGGCGCTACGGACTATACAACGAGCATTGGTAAATTTTTGGATGCATATTTTGTTTTTTCATCACAAAGTTACTGTAAAAACAACGTTTGAATTTGTGATATAAATTTTCACTATTGAATTTTTTAATTTTAGACGTTTGGTCAGCAGGAACAGTGCTTGCAGAGCTTCTGCTGGGACAACCAATTTTTCCTGGCGACTCAGGTGTGGATCAGCTCGTGGAAATCATTAAAGTATTGGGCACACCCACACGTGATCAAATACAACAGATGAATCCAAATTATACTGATTTCAGATTCCCACAAATCAGAGCTAATCCTTGGCAACGCGTACGTCCATTAGCTCATCAATTTTGCCTTTTATGGGTCTATTTTTGGGAAGTAGAGTTTTGTAATCGATGCCATCATTCATCTTAACGTTATTGGATTGCATCATGACATGTAGCTTATAAACATTATCATTCCTTAAGCAACATGGCTGTATCACGTTCATTATTCAGCAGTCATACGCCAAAAGTGTGAAAACTCGAAATTTCAGGTGTTTCGTCCACGTACTCCCTCGGAAGCGGTCGATCTCGTTTCACGTCTTTTGGAATATACGCCTAATGCTCGGTTGTCGCCACTCCAAGCATGTGCTCATACATTTTTCGATGAGTTACGCCATCCTAATTGCAAACTGCCAAATGGTAGACAAGTGCCACCAATTTTCGATTTCTCCGAACAAGAGTTGCGCATCGAACCGAATCTTAATGCTGCTCTTTTACCTCAGAACTCTGCAAGAGGTATGAAATTTTCTGTATTACTAGATTTATTCAGACTTGTCCAGTTGCTTGAATTTCTGCTTAATGAGAGTTAAGAGATAATTTTCACTCTTCAAATGTTCGTACTTTTATGAGGTTTTTGTTTCTAGTTTTTGCTTAGGATATTGTCAGTTTTTAGGTGCATCATCAGCAGCAGTAGGTAGTTCCTCATCGTCACCAGTGGAAGCATCATCAACAGCAGCAGGAGCCCCAAGCGCATCAGCTTCAGCTGTTAATACTGAGCCAACTTCCACAGATGCGTGAATCTCATACGTTTTTGAAATTTTATGAAAGAAGGTAACTGGAGAATGCTTGAGATTATATACATATATATATATATATATATATATATATATATATATATATATATATATATATATAT